GTATTGACGAAAGTTGTACCCTATATGGCGCCGCCCATAAGAAACTTATGTTTTCTTTTTCGCAGAAATATTCTCGGGAGTATTCTCATCTACTCCCTAAAGTTTCATGGTACTCGGATGAACCGCATCCGAGTTTTATTTTTTATAAACCGTGTATAGAGGAGAAAAATCGCTCCCACCCCCCACCCCGGGGACGCCGCCCTTGCAATATTAAACAATATTTTTTGCAGAACCCTACCATTGAGTGATCTAATCATCTCCCCAAAGTTTCATGGTACACGGATGAACGGTGTGAAACCGAAATTTTATAAACCGTATATAAAGAAAAATCGCAGCCTCCCGTGGCGCCGCCCTTGCGAAATTAAAAATGATTTTTACAGAACCTTTCCCTAGAGTTTTAAAATGAACTCCCCAAAGTTTCATGCCTATCGGATAAACGGTGTCACTGCAATTCACTTTTATTATTTTTATATACCGTAAAAAGAGAAAAATCGGACCCTCCCGTGGCGCCGCCCTTGCGAAATTAAAAATGATTTTTTTACAGAACCCTTCCCTAGAGTGGTATGATGAACTCTCCAAAGTCTTATGGCTATCGGATGAACGATGCCAAACTAAATCGACTTTTATTTTTATATACCGTATATAGAGAAAAACAAATCGCGCCCTGCCGGGATGCCACCCCTGCGATTTTGAAATATTTTTTATCGCAGAAACCTCCCCAGGAATATTTTCAACAACTTCCTAAAGTTTCATGGTCATCGTGTGAACAGTGTCACTGCAATTCACTTTTATTTTTTTATATACGGTATATAGAGAAAAACAAATCGCGCCCTACCGGGGTGCCACCCCTGCGAATTTGAACTATTTTTTTTCGCAGAAACCTTCCCAGGAATATTCTCAACAACCTCCCAAAGTTTCACGGCGATGTGATGAGAGGTGTAGTAATGGATTAAGGACAGACACACACACACACAGACATACATTGCTTTTTATATATATAGAATATAGAAGATATATATATATATATATATATATATATATATATATATATATATATATATATATATATATATATATATATATATATATATACATATATATATATATATATATATTTGTGTGTGTGTGTGTGTGTAAAATTAAATTAATTTTAGTTGAATAACCTTAAATAACCTTCAACTTGTACTGATTTACACCCAAATAAAACAAGCTGTACGTCTTGCTTACACATTATGCTTTAAAATCTTGTAAGGACAGACCTGGATTGTTAAGAATGTGAATGTCAAATCAACCTACGTGTATAAGAATCAATAGTATGAACCAGGAAGTAACTGTAGCTTACACGCAGCTTTTGTTAATTCTTTAGTAATTAAATAAACTCCTTTGTACATATTTTTTTCAAGAGTGTACATGAATTATAATCTAAAATGCATTACTAAAATTTGAAGACAACATGAACATGTATTTAGTAGGTTACTATTTTTACTATAGGCAATACGATTCTAATCAATTTTTTAAAGAAAGTCAATACTTGATTGATTGTTGTTATTTTCTAGCAAATATTTAGCGGTGATTTGAATTCAAAGTCGCTTGATTGTCAGACTTTTCTAGACAATAGAACCTTTCATTCCAGAATTTTACTAACCATTATTTATTGTATAAATGTACATTACAATAAGTTAATACTCCTTATATCAGTATTGCTATTCGATTTTAAGTAAAAGCTGAAAGTACCATGATTGTGTAAGTGAATATGTACGTACTATCAACTATAAAAAAAAATGACAATGTCTACCAAATATTCGAATCTATATAACCAACCTAACATAGACAGCGAGCACTCATTTTATTCGAAATAGTTATAGTAACCATCACCCGTTATTAGCTTTATTTTTCATTACTATTTATTAAACTAAGCTGGACAACAAAATTGACAAGCCTACATAATCAATACTAAACGGGCTCGGTTATACAAACCGCCATGTCGATATTCTAAAGCATTGTCTGAAAACCAGGTAGTTAGCATTAGTGTTATTCACAGCAATGCCAAATTAAATTTGACATTGAGGACTTGAAATACACTGTGGCGTTGTGCCAATCACAAGCAGGAAGTTTAAAAAAAAATCTGGCCCTATTTTCTTGAGTCATTGGATAGACTCGCTCTATTAATTACGTTCAGTTAACGTTGAAGTTGTTTGTTGAACTGTTAACCTGCGTGTCGATAATTTATCAGCCATTAACGGTTATTCTTTACCTATTAATATCGTCCGATACAGTGGCGTAGCTACCGTAAAACTAGAGTAAGCAAGGCATAGGGGCCCAAGGCACATTGGGGACATTTTCTCTCTAAAAAAAAAAACAACTTTTCATTGGAATTTTAATATTTTTACTTTCTCGTATATACGACGTATAGAGATAGTCTTGTAATCGAGCTTTTACAAATCTCGACGTTTTACACCTCACTGATACGGAAAATCATAATTTTGCAATCTTGTCCGCATGTCTGTGTGTCTGTGTGTCTGTGTGTCTGTCTGTCTGTCTGTCTGTGTGTAAACACGATAACTTGAGTACCGTTACAGCTAGGTTGATGAAATTTCATTTATAAGTATTGTATCAAAATCGTAGATCCGTATCAACTTTTGAGCGATTTCCGATAACCGGAAGCGGTACTTTTTCTACTTTGAATTTTTCAAAAGCCTATAACTTGATTACTATTTCAGATAGATAAATGAAATTTCACATGTAAGTAAAAATTCTAATTCCCTACCTTGTTTCAACTTTTGAGTAATTTCCGTTGAACGAAAGTTCTAATTTACGCTATTTCCAATTTCTCAAAAAAAGCATGTAAATTTATAGAGTACTAATAATATTGCGCACTATTATGCACATTTTGTTTTGGCGTTCACTTGGTGCGCAATTCTTTTTTCTACGAGATTCTATTCTATTTTTAAAAATCTTGTCTATATTCCAAGTTATATAAGAATATTCGAGAAAGTTTAGGGGAGATCACTCCCGGTTTATTTTATATATAGATAATTTAGAAAAGCAAAAGGCTAAAAGTTCCAAAAATGTACCCCGTCCTTTCTTACTGTACAGGCAGTGGGATTCAGTGGGGAGGGGGTTGGGTCGAACAGGGCCCTATCAGTATAATAACACCACAGGTGATGCTGCTTTGTTATGCAAGACATTGGGGGGGGGGGGGGGTCGTCCATAAATGACGTCACACTCGTAGGGGGGTCCGTAATTTTGTGACGGGGTTTGATGAGGGAAGGGGGGATTAGATTGTGTAACGTCACACTTTTGCATTATAAAAAAGCAATGTTAGAACACGAGTTTTAGCCGTTATTTCGCATTTTAGAAAACGGATTTAATAAATGGTAATAGGAATTTATCGACATACTCTATGTTGACAGAATTCTGACAAGATTTTGGAAAAATATCTATGTTTTAAGAAAAAGTCAACAGCAGTTTTGAGGGGGGGGGGGGAGGGTTTTAGGCCTGGGGTGTGGCTTTTTGTGACGACTTGTGACGGAGGGGAGGGGGAAGGTATAAATCGTCAAAAAAGCGTGAATTCATTTATGAATGAGCCCTTGAGAGAATTAGCCTATAAATGAATTTGAACTTTGACTCAAGTTTAAATGCATCGCTAAAAACCTCAACTGAATGGGACATTCCCTCCCCCCCCCACACACACACCCACACACACACCTGCAACTTTCTCCCACCTGTCTGCCCTGCCCGAAATTTTATCCTACTAAATATCCATGAATACAATTGAGCAATTAAAAAAAAATAACAACCATTGACAGTGTTTTTACAACACTGTTACTTACAAAAACAACACATTAACTTTAAGCCTGTCACATTTGTACAAAACCACGGCGTAGTAGCAGTAGTGGGCCTAAATAATATAGTATAAATACATAATCAGGACCAGAGGCGTAGCGAGCTCGGGGCGGGGAGTGTGGAACGCACCGGTTGACACCATTTGGGGAGGGGTGGGGGGTGACACCATGACAGAAGAAAAAAGTTTTTTTGCCAGTTCCAGAAATGATTAATTGGAGTAACATAGTGTTTTAAGTACAAATCGATAAGTATTACAAGAGGGTGGGGGGGGGGGGGACATCATACGTGTGCGAACTTTAGAAAAAAACAATGCTACATCCAACTGTATTATTTTAAAAAAAACTAGATAAACATCAGTACTGTTAAGTCTGCAGTGAATGCGGCACATATTTAAATTAAAGGCCTATGTAGGCCGACACACATGCACACACAAACACACATATATATATATATGTATATATATATATATATATATATATATATATATATATATATATATATATATATATATATATATATATATATTTTTTTTTTTTTTTTTTTTTTTTTTTTTTTTTTTTTTTTTAATTTATATACACATTTGGGGGGGTGGTGACACCACGAAGTGCCGCACTGGGTGACACCTGACCTAGTAACGCCACTGATCAGGACGTATACTGTACAAAATGAACAGGATATTTATATTTATATTTTTTTAAAAATATCCATTGTAAGTAGCAGTTCATCTCATTGTTTAGCTCCATTGTAGCCAAACAGCCCATTGACAATTTGAGCATAGTGGCCCGAAAATCCTCGCTACGCCACTGGTCCAATACCTTAAACCATATTGTTATCATGATAGGCTTTTTAAAAAATGAGTTCACGTTTTAACATGATTTTTGATACCTGTTTTGAGTGGCTAGAGTTATACATATAATAGGACACTCCAGTTTGTGTTAATAGTAGGCTTAACTATCATTCATTAGCTTTTGTGAACCAAAAATCAAAATGAAATAGTAGTTTATGAACGTTTGCTGCCGCTTAACACCAGCTTCGTTTGTGTAAACTAACTGCGTAGAAAGCATCCTGTTTTAAAGTTACATTTATACTTTTAAAACAATGGTAAAAAGCTTACAATGCAGTACTTTGTTTTTTATTAACCATTAAAATAAAATATTATAATTTAACAACAGAGAAAACATTTAATCTTGTCTTAAATTCCTCATTTTAAGAAATTTATAAAATTATTTAAATTTGTTAGTTGGTGTTTTTCAATGAGCAACACGTTGCATCTTGACTTTTATTTAGCACCTGTAAAACAAATAAACATTACCTTAATTTTACTAACGCATGTAGCTAAGTAATGAAATAGCGGTTAATTGTAACAAAATATATTAGGGTTTTACATTTGTTTATTCCCGCCGAATCCATATATTTTAAAGACTAATAAATACAATGTTTTCTCTTATGGCTAATAAAAACTCATTTTTTGTTTTGTTTTATCAAAGTTGAATTTCTTACCGTAGGTGTACTGTAGCTTAAATCCCCGGCCACTGATTAAACCATCAGACGTGAAGACCAGGTACAGACTGTTGGTAGAGCTAATAGATCTGGGTAAACTGCTGCCACAGTAGGCACCCAGCAGGGGGTAGCTTGTTGACGTACCGTTGTAAACTTTAAGTGAGTCGTACGCACACGCGACACCAAACTCTAAGTCCACATCAGAGAAGCTGAAGAAAGAGACGTTGATTTTTTTTTCAGCAATTTTAACTATATAAGTTGGTACATTGTGAATATAAGTCTTGTGTTTTATTAAGGAATGACATAGGTTACCATGCGAGCTCAATGTGATGTTGCTCGTTTGAGACATAATGTTACGAGAACAAAGACATCACATTTAATTTACCAACATTGTTTTACGATATAAGCTTATTTAAAGGAAAACTCAACTGAATTGTGAGGTATTGAATAACATGTTTATATTGGTTGAGTCTTGTAAGAGTTTCAGTTTGAGAGATATTACTTTGTACTGTTGAAACAGTCTTGATTGGAATAAATGTCGAATAAAGTCATTATAATCAGAATATGGATGGTTACCTGATAGTTGTGGTCATCAGGGATTTTGAGGGAACAGTCCAGTGGCAGGTATAGTTGGCTGGGTACGCATGTGGGTAGCCTGGACTTACAATTAGACCAGCATCGGTGGCAACGGTTGTGTTACAGGCTGGGGAAGGGAATAGTACGGTCAGAACATAGGGTCAGAACATAGGGTCAGAACATAGGGTCAGAACATGAGGTCAGAACGTACGGTCAGAAGGTACGGTCAGAACATAGGGTCAGAACAAAGGGTCACAACATACGGTCAGAACATACGGCCACAAGGTACGGTCAGAACAAAGGGTCACAACATACGGTCAGAAGGTACGGTCAGAACATAGGGTCAGAACAAAGGGTCACAACATACGGTCAGAACATACGGCCACAAGGTACGGTCAGAACAAAGGGTCACAACATACGGTCAGAACATACGGCCACAAGGTACGGTCAGAACATAGGGTCAGAACATACGGTCAGAACATACGGTCAGAACATACGGTCAGAACATACGGTCAGAACGTACGGTTAGAAGGTACAGTCAGAACGTACGGTCAGAACATACGGTTAGTACTGACGGTAAGACCATCCAGTAAGAACATAGGGTCAGAACGTATGGTTAGAACTGACGGTCAAAACATACTGTCAGAACATAGGGTCACAACATACGGTCACAAGGTACGGTCAGAACATACGGTCAGAACATAGGTTCAGAACATAGGGTCAGAACATACGGTCAGAACATACGGTCACAACATACGGTCAGAACATAGGGTCACAACATACGGTCAGAACATAGGGTCAGAACATACGGTCAGAACATACGGCCACAAGGTACGGTCAGAACATACGGTCAGAACATAGGGTCAGAACATACGGTCAGAACATACGGTCAGAACATACGGTCAGAACATACGGTCAGAACATACGGTCAGAACATAGGTTCAGAACATAGTGTCAGAACATACGGTCAGAACATACGGTCACAACATACGGTCAGAACATACGGTCACAACATACGGTCAGAACATAGGGTCACAACATACGGTCAGAACATAGGGTCACAACATACGGTCAGAACATACGGTCAGAACATACGGTCAGAACATACGGTCAGAACATAGGGTCAGAACATACGGTCAGAACATACGGTCAGAACATACGGTCAGAACATACGGTCAGAACGTACGGTTAGAAGGTACAGTCAGAACATACGGTTAGAACATACGGTCAGAACATACGATCAGAACATACGGTCAGAACATACGGTTAGAATATACGGTCAGAACATACGGTTAGTACTGACGATAAGAACATCCAGTAAGAACATAGGGTCAGAACGTATGGTTAGAACATACGGTCAGAACATACGGTCAGAACGTACGGTTAGAAGGTACAGTCAGAACATACGGTCAGAAGATACGATCAGAACATACGGTCAGAACATACGGTCAGAATATACGGTCAGAACATACGGTTAGTACTGACGATAAGAACATCCAGTAAGAACATAGGGTCAGAACGTATGGTTAGAACTGACGGTCAAAACATACGGTCAGAACATAAAGTCAGAACGGACGGTTAGAACATACGGTCAGAACATTCGGTATAATCTATAATATAGTTTCTACTTAAAACTGCATCTTCAAATAATGAAAAGCAATTAAAGAATACCGAAACAATGTAATCACAATTTTTAAACTTGATAGCAAAATGTTTTATACATTTTGCGGCATTTAAGCTATACTACACATCATACATAAGCTATATAAACAGAAAACAGTTTTAAAACGTACCGTTAATCTCCAAGCATTTTGTTTCCGTACCGTCCAGTCTTGTCCACTCTGGACACAAACACTGCTCGACTCGTGGACTGACAGAGACCAGCTTACAGTCATGGGAACATTGTTTTATCCTACACAGGGCTGCAGGGATGTATATTAAACAAGAATCACTTGTTTTACACATGGGCTACCAAAGTATATTTCAAGACTGGACGTAACCCAAAATGGAGAGTTCCCACTTGTGTGACCTTAGATATAGACAGAACGTGTACAGTGTTTCTTCCAGACTTTTTTCTCCGGGGGGTGGGGGTGCAGACTAAATTTTCCGGGGGACTGGACCCTGGTAAAAGTATGTTTCTAAATAAATTCCATTTCTTTCGGGTGGGAGGGGGTGGTAGACTTTCTTCGGGACGGGGGTGGGGGGGACTCTGCCGAAGAGATGCCTGGAAGAAACTCTGACCGGGTGACAACTATTGTACCCAGCCGACCGTAGTGATATTTTTACAAACCTGAACTGGAATTTGTGGGTACTATCATGTCAAATAATGCACTATCCCCACTTTATCTGTTCGGGTTAGCTATATATTAAACGTTCACATTTTTTAAAATCATCTTCGGACTTGGCGTTAAGTAGAGTTCATTTGTTTCTTTTACCTCAGCATAAAAAGGCAATGTGTTTGGTTCTACACCTACACGCCTTTACTTTCCCTAACGTAAGCACCCATTAGAGCTGGGTGGAGTCAGGTAATTTTTACAGACTAGAGAACATGATCAAGACTTTTAATGATTTCAGTTATGCTGTACCGTCCTGTTAAGCTTTAGTTATAATCAAAGAATGTGCATTGATAAATGTATACTCGTATGCAGTGGCGTAGCGAGGTCGGGTGTCACCCGGTGCGGCACTTAATGGTGTCACCCCCCCCCCCCTCAGAGGCGTAGCGACCCTTACCGGGGACAAACTTTCAAATTTTCGATTTGCACCCCCCCTCATACTTTCGATTTGCGCCCCCCTCAAGTTTTTCTCTATATATTTTGCTATTTTTGCCTTGGTGTCACCCCCCTAAATGGTGTCACCTGGTGCGGTCCGCACCCCGCCCCCCCCCCCTCGCTACGCCCCTGCTCGTATGTCCATTATGATTTAATACATTTATAGAAGTGTATTCATACAACATACATTCTACAACGTAGGTGGCGAAAAACCCTTTCTTGTTGACAGCCTCATCTGACGTGAAAGAAATGAGCAGAGAGTTCCCAGTGGAGCTGATAAGTTCAGGAGTTCCTTCATCACAGAACTGGCCTATGATGTCTGCCTCTATAGTGTCACCATCGTACACCTCTAGGTAGTCGTAAGGACATCCTTCTACTTGGTAGTCTGTGATGCTGTTGAGTGGATGCCTCGTGTATATAATTTTTGATATGTAAGTGTGTATCTTAATTAGCTCACCTTCTATTAATTCTAATAGTGAATTTATAATAAAACTTGACTTTTTAAAAATTATATTTTGACTTATTGAGTAATGTTTTAGAATCTACACACAATTTAATTTTTAAAGTAAATATCTTTTTTGGTATAATTTCAATGCATTGTTACACAATTTCCGGTGTTTTCAGCTATTATGTTTAAACGAGTTATGTAATAACTTGAAAGTGTTAGCATAGAAGCAGACTACACAAGATTTTGTAAAGCCATATATCTTGTGATCTTATGCATTATTTGTATTAATATGGTGTAGGGTAAGGTAGAAATAGTGAGCATACAATTAGTTGAAAGTAAAAACCTTTGTTTTCTTGAACATAATACTCATGTTAATGTTAATTTATTGTTTATGCATGATTAGCCGTTGCAAGCAACTAATAGAAACAATTCTTACTTTAGTAGAATTATCGAGTTCATTTCACTTAACGTTAATACTTATCTTATCTTATTGTTTAAACATGAATAGCAGCAACAAACAGCTGATAGAAAAACTATTCTTACTTGAGTAGAATTATTGAGTTCATTTCACTTGATGTGATCGTCCATGTACACGACTCTCCATCAGGGTAGTTGTCAGGGTAGTTGGAGCTCATAAAACTACCAGATGACTCTGTCAGTACTCGGTTGCAATCTAGTGGCGATTTTATTTAAAAATGACAAATCTCTTTTATATTGATTATATAGCAATTGTTCTAAGAGTCAACCATATGGTTTAGCTCTTTGAATTGAAGTTCAGATCTTAAAATTTATCGCTATAACCATGTTAAAAAAATAAATCTAGACTATCGTTTGTGTCAAAATCATGTTACTCTTAATTTAGAACGACTTTTTGAAACTGAATTTTATTTATACAATTCAGAGCACCTTTCCTATTTATAACGGTCAATTAATAATAATGTCTTTACCTGTGATAAAATGTACATTATACAGTGGATAAAGTAATAGGAAAGGGGGAATTAATTTGGTATTTTTTCCCTAATTTTTACTGTTAACGTTGAAAAAGTTACGACAGAAATATTTATGTACCTGAGCAGATGCCGTTGACAGGTGTTAGTCCATTGAAGCACGTGCACACGTAACCGTCACCTTTGTTGTTGCACGTCAGGTTTGGTGAGCAAGGGTTATTGGCGCAGTGATCCACAAACATAGAGCAGTCATCGGTCTTCATGCCATTGTTGCACACGCAAACGTTGACAGATTCGTCACAATACCAGGTGTACTGCATGATGCATCGGTTAGAGCAGTTTTTGGCTGGAGAGAGAGAGAGAAAGGCGGGGGGAGGGGGGGGGGAGGAAATCAAGTTATAAAAACTTAACGCGATAGGTCAAAATTTCTACATATTTTTTGGCATTTCTCAGGTTAAAAAAAAGTATTAACACATTATAACGCTAGTAAAGTGAGGGGTTATGAAAAAAAAATATAAAATAAAAATATCGAATATCCGATGTGTATAACTACAGCATTGATTGTTCTTATTGTATCATATTCTTTTTTCACTGAACAGAATCTACAATGATCATGTACCAGTAAGAGCTTTCTCTACGAAAAGACTGTGCTGACAGACAAATAATATGCTTTACATGATTTTTAGAACTGTAGATCCTATATGATATTTCATAATGAACTAACTTTCACAAACTGATATCAAATATTTTTTTGGGAAAAAAAGAACAATTTGTACCAAAACATGAGCTAGAGTCCGCACGACTGAGAACGTATCCAGGGTTACAGCTACAGGTGTAGGACCCCTCAGTGTTGACACAGGTGTGATCACAGGTGCTGTTGTCCTCACATTCGTCGATATCTGAAAATGATACTAAATATTTGAAACAAATCGACTTAAAATAATATTAAAAACGATACAATTTTATAAAAAGTTCTTTGCACTAACGCCAAACAAAATGAATAAATATATGTTCGGATGAGTAACATAAAATGACATGGAATTTTTCTTACGATCACAACTTATAAGTGTACTGTAGTTAGTTAAATACAGCTTAATTTAGTACTTTACTAATAAGTGTAATTAAAAAGATAACGCACCAACACAAATGTCCTCAATGTCCTGATATCCAGTAGGACAAGGACCACACTCATATCCTACGGGATTGTTGCCTTGTTGGGCTGCCGTCAGGTCTGTGCATGTTCGTCCTTTAGAGCAGGGTTTGTTCAGACAGGCGTCCAGTTCTAACTCACAGTTGTTGCCTATTTATCACGTGTTAACAAAAAATATTAGTTTCTATCAGCATCAGTATAGCAGATATATAAATATGTCAGCACTCTTGAAAATAAATAAGCAACAAGTGTATAGTTTCGAGTTTAGAGTGAAGTTTACAAAATCTAAAATCAAACTAAAATGGTATCAATAAAACACAATACCAGTAAAACCGGGTGCACAGTCGCATTTTAGAATCTGGACTTGTCCTCCAAAGTACTCAACCGGCCTGGTTTCGTTCCTGCTACACCGTCCATTATTTCTGCACTGAGGGCATATAGCTGTCTGTATGTTGATCACGTGTGTGTAGCAATTTCTTGAATCTTTAACTCTGAACCTGTAAAACATAATATGTGTATATCAATAACTAAACACCAATATATGATTAACATATATTTTAATAATTTAATATTGAAAAATTTAGTTGCTTTCTTACACACTTTAGTGGAAAGTTGTAAATTACTTATTGGTAGTTGTTGGTGCTTTAGGCTAATTACGTTTAGTTGTATAACATTGTTAGTATGAAATATAGTCCTAATTATTAATACTGTGAGGCTTAAATCTAAAATACAAAGAGTACCATATTCCAGTGGCGTAGCGAGGTCGGGTGTCATCCGGTGCGGCACTTAATGGTGTCACCCCTAGAGGCGTAGCGACCCTTCCCGGGGACAAACTTTCAATTTTCGATTTGCACCCCTCCCCCATCAACCCCCCCCCCCCCTTACACTTTCAATTTGCACCTCTTAAACCACTATTTAACACTCGAATTAATCATTTAATTAAGTGGAATTATCATTTTTCTCTATATATTTTGCTATTTTTTTGCCTTGGTATCACCCCCCTAAATGGTGTCACCCGGTGCGATCCGTCGCCCCCCCCCCCCTCGCTACGCCTCTGCCATATTCAATGTAGTAAATTTTAACATCTACAATAGATTAGACGTACCCAATTTTCACCGGGTTCAGAGAGGATGGTGTGTACGTTAAAAACCCGCTTTGGTTGATTGACACTCCCGTGACACTCTCGTACAGCATGTAGGTCAAAAAGTCATCATCGGCGTCAGTCACGTTAACACGTAGTGTGTTGACTGCCCCCTCCTGGACAATCCATCGACCGTTGGTGTAGTTGTCGTTCTTGACGAAGGTTACATTAGGGCAGTTGTTGGCTGGAAGCGAATGCAATTAAGGTGTGCTGATCAATGTCCATAGCTATACAAATGTCAAAACTAATCTAAAACCGTCGATCAGTATGGAAAGCTTTACTAAGTTATTTAATTCCGTTGATCAATATTTAAAACTATGATAAGCTATGTTAAACTGTTGATCAATAATCAAAGCTATACTGCGTTATGTAAAGCAATACATTCTCATTTAATACAAATGAAGTAGAATTCGGTGTTTCTTTTCCTATGGCATATCAAGGGGTATAATAGTCGGTTAATTTACTATCTTCTTTACGTTTTATTCTAATAAAGTCAGATAGCCACCAAAACAGTATGAAACCATACGGACATAGCATTGGGATTCAAACCGAGGAAGTTTTTGTATTAAACAACTAGTAGTCGGGACAGCTTGGCCTACACGTTAGAGAACTAGGATGCTAACCCGAAAGTCTATATTTCCCAGAGTCCACCCAGCTATGATGGGTGATTAACTCATGTTAGGAAAGGAAATACGGCTGGGAAAGCGCTGACCACACCTTCCCTTCAAATGCAAAGGTCAAGAGACTTATCAAATCCACTTCTTCTACCCAAATCATATCTATTGTCTAAAGATGATTTTTTCTTAACTTTACTAGTAGTCGCGCACAATTTTACCCACATAGTTCCAAAAATGAAGACAAACTTTATGTTTAAAGAATGTTTTATGTGCATACCTAACAGCAAACGTTTAGCTGTGGCCTGCTTCATGGTGTTATCCGAATTCTTAGCAAACGCCGCGTCCTTTGTGATGAAATAATCATAAACACAGGCGTTTCTCCCCGCCCCACACAGAGCTATGGCAGCCTGTAGGTTGGTCGCTGTCTGTGTATCCATGTAGGTGGGTACAAACGTTGCGTGTTGGTAGTCGGAGGCTTTCTTGCCTGTCTTGTAGATAAACACCGATTTGTTCGCTGCTACTTGGTCTGTTGGAGAAAATATAAGATGATGATTACATTATCAATTTGAAATTAAAATCCAACTATAGGTACACATTGGAATGGTAAAAACTTTATTTTCTTCCTGGCAAAACGTCCTGCCCCCTCCTCACCCCCCCCCCCCCCCGGCCAAGAAAGTTTATCGCCCCCCCCCCCCCCCCCCAGAACAAAATGGAATTCATATAGAAAATATATAATATATAGGGCTTTTTAAATCTGTGTTTGGTTTCCTCTTCTTAGTTCTTAATTTTAGTTTTGAAAGGGATTCACTCTAACACAATTAAGTGAAGTTAAAGGCCTATGGCTCCGATTTCGGCTTCCATTGCCTTTGTCAAACCAAGAACAAACTACAAAGCAGCAGTTGTTGAATTATTTTGGAGTTGTCTCTCTTAGATTAGTGTCTGTCCCCAACTAAGGAGCCTCATCTGCCCGATTGTTCGAACATGAGATTTTCGGTTCAGCAATTATGAGCTTGACCGACGAGACCACGCCAACCTCTGTGTTTGGTTTAATATAATTTTTTTAAAGATATTTTTTATTATCCCAAAACAAAATTGTCTTTATTCGCTCACTTTGAATAATCTTTGCAATACTTACATTGGCTTGCAAATTTTGTATAGATCTGACTCTCTGTTAAATTAGCTGGCAGAACTGTCCCGTTAGGTAACGTAAACTCGTCGTTGGTTTTTCCGTTGAAGTTTCCAAGCAGACCTCTCGTTTTGTTTTGTAAGGTTTTCAACACCTGCATCTCAAGTTCGAGATTGTTTATTCCCACCCGCACAGAGAGCGACACCCCTAAAACAAAAAAAAAAGGTTCGGCCTATTTCATTGGCAAAAGTACTCTGCAAACTTTAACAATCAGTTTTAAATTATGTACTCTAATAACTGATATGAACATGCAGATAATTATAGACATATTTAAGATTTATCAAATAAAATATGTTGCAATTAAGATCTGACCACAAGGAAATGAGACAACGACTTTTGTCTTGTTGCCGCTGTTGTCTCTAAGAACTTCTATGTCGTCAATGGAGAACTTGTAGTCGACTTGTCTGTTGAAGCTGTCGGTCAGGTTCAGACCTTTGGCCAGGATCTCCATGGCTGACGATGGAACGAATTTAAGACAGTTTTCTTCAATTATAAGCCTATGTGCCGCTTACGTACTTAAACCTGATTAATTATATAATTTGTAATAGTTTTAAGAAAATACACCTTTAAGTTACACAAACAATGATAACATTACTGTTTGGGTCTCGAATAAACCACTGACTTAATGAGTTAGTATAAAAAGTTTGAATAGAGTAACTAAAAACAAAAGCAAAGTTCTCTTTCAAACCTGACAGTCTACTGGGCATGTAAAGTAGAGTTCACTTGTAGAGTAAATAAATCTATGAAATACTGTTTTCATTTTCAAAATAAATTAACTGCACCTACAGCTACTAAATTATTAATAGTACAATTTTGATCGTCATTCGCATTTAATTTCGATACGTTAAAGCACTAAATACTCGTATTGACTACACTACAAGTTCTTACAAGTCTTAGAGGCAGAGAGTTCCACTTGGAAGTGAGTGCCATAACCGTCTTTGGCAGCAAAAGCCGTGAACACAGTTCCAGTGGACAAAGTAGTGCCCAGCTGTAGCCTGTCTGTCCTCGCCTGTAGAGTGGAACAAGTCACGTGACTATGTGTTATAGGTAAGGTTTTAGACAAACTGTTACGTGTAGACAAGGTTAGGTTTAGTGTTATTGTACATATTTTAAAAGTATTGCTGTTGTAGATGGCAAAAAGTATGGCCAACCTTCTAATATAATAAAGACCAAGTTATTTTTTTATGGTTCACAGAGAATCAAATAAATGTTTTCCTAATGTAATTTTATAAAACAAAATAAATTACCCACCTGTAGTGTAAAGTTCTCACTGGGGACATCAATCAGTGTGAACTCCCCCCATCCGTTCATCAGGTAAGTGACGTTATCCAGGGTCACCATAGTCGGGTCACCCAGTAAAAAGCCTGAAATAATTTACTTATGTAGATAATTGTAAAATGGGGATATCTTTCGTCTAGAGAAAAATAATTATCTCATTGTTATGAGAAAGAAAATATGATTGTTTGAATATATTAGATGTATTTTTGATCATCTCGAACGGAAAAACAGTAGATAATCATGTGTTTTGTAGTTTTTGTCAAAAGTCTAGAATAAGGGTTGAACTATAATGTAACATAATGTAACTATAATGTAATAGCATTAAAGAGTTATCCATTAATGACATCAACATTTTTTATTTATTTTGGACCCCCCCCCCCCTCCCGTCCACTAAAGTCCACTGAATTCCCTTTTAAAAGTCCACATGCGTCCGCAAAAGTCAATTTTTTTCGTACCCCCCCCCCCCCCCCCCGTGTGGACATCATAAATGGATGACCCCTAACCATTCGACTCTGATTTACAAGTAAGAAATAACCATGTTTTATATGATTTCCCTACCCGGAACGAACTGTACATCATACGAGCACTCCATATCAGGGTAGATCTTGTCGAATCTCTCACACAGTTTAGCCTTGTTGGCGTCCTTACAGCACCACTGGTGGGCGTCGATGTTCTCACGGACCCCCTCGTACCAGTCTGGGTCCCCGGCCACCACGTGACCAGCATCCGGCGAGCCGTGGACAAACGTGGCGAGGGCCAGTTGCTGCCCCCAGACCTGCCAGTCGCTGGTGTCAGCTGGTCGGTCCCACCTGTAGCAGCACAGCTGGGGAGGTCACAACAGGTAAATGTGGGCGGTTCGCTGAGTCCAGGGAGTAAGACTTTAGTAAATAAGTGAGTGGTGAATATTAAATGCGTGACTTGAAGGAAAACATGAAATTATATAGGGCTAGCACAATGCTTTGCCAAATTCATCCAGGACCTCTCGATGATTATAAATTATTTTATACTACAAGTAATTGATACAGTTGTCAATTATTGATACTTCTATTGATATAATTTTAAATTCTTTTTTTTAAACAAAAAGACACAGATTACCAAAAAGGCAAGTTAAAAGTCAAATATTTATCAGAATATAATAACACACGTTTAGACTTGCAGATACATTGAAGGTTCAGCATTCTTTATCGCTAAATCAAGCAAAAACGATTAGACCTATCAGGAATGTTATTGTATGCCAATCGCTAAGGCAAGTGAAAAGCTACAAAGTATTGCGTTGAATAAATTATATAGATATATATCTAATAACTTTATACCTATTGATTTATATTTTTCCTGTTACCTTATTCCTGGGGTTAGATACAAGCAGCCTTCTTTTTGCCACTAAACTTATTGAAAAACAGTAAATGTTCGGACTACGTTGTTCATAGATGGTCCACTGTAAACCCAGGCGGTCGAGTGTACACGGACATTTGTACAGCTGTTCTATCTCTTGACGGTAAACTGGGTTGGTTATCTGACGGCTGTTTTTACACACGTATCTCTGGCACTGCTGGGCAGGGCTGGTGGCGGGGGATTGTCCAACCTTGTAGGAGAAGATTTGCTTGAAGTCTGAGGCTAAAAGACAAAAGGTGAATCAACAAAAGTTAATGATATAAAAGTTGTTTTTATGCGAATTGGATTGCAGAACAAGTCAAAACAACAAAGGACCGAGACGGATAACAGAAAATCAACAGTAGCTCCTCAACGGCTACAATAAGTGATCGATTGCTTGATATCTGCAACTTTATGAACATTGTAAATATAGAACGATACAAATGGCAAATAGTGTAATATTATGTTTTAAATATTTGTTTCTTAAAATGGAACGTGCATGTCCTTATAAGACATAATGCCTAGTGGCATATTTCAGTTAATTCGCATCCGAGAGCAAAAGCATTAGTAAGTGTATTAATAGCAGATTTATACTAATTTTTTTTTAATCTTTCAGAGCAATACATATCTTAATTATTTATTATTTTAATTATTGTCATTTTTGTGTTTAAGACAGCTCGCTAAGTACTATTACCTTTGTGCCAAGAGGCTGTGATGCCTGGAACTAAGGTTGTAAACCTGCCAGCAGTTACACCGACCTGAACACCTGCATTACACCATTGCATCCTGTCTTTAGGATACAGGTAGAACACGTAGGACGTTTCTTCAGCTGAAAATAAAATGTGTCAATCATATTTTACATACAACTGTTTGCTGTCGATGGCAGAAAGGATAGCACGTTCGGCTGAAAAAACAATGTGCCCATAGTATCCCACTAACAACTATTAGCTGCCAATTGCAGACAGAATAGTAAAACTCTTTCAGCTGTAAGTGGTTGTTCCTGTTATTGAAAACATCAGCTAGTGTTATACAGTTTGTTTACGCTTTGCTAACTATAATATTGGCACGTGACTTACCCAAGAAATTTTGGTCACTACTAGATTCCTTTCTATTCCCACTGATGAAAATAGCTTGAAACGTGTTCTGTGTGAAATGTTAGTTGTTAACACAAATTATAGTATCAACAGTATAATCGCCATTAATAAATTACAGTAAGGGAACTAAAGTCATATGATACAAAACAAATTAGATCATTATGCTTAACAGATTTTACTTTACTTTTTATACTTGTGCCTAATGATATAGTCTAATGTCATTAATGCAAACTAATATTGAAATACCTTCACTGTAGCCCGAGATTGCTGAAAACATAACATTGAAAATTACTTTTTTGCTGCAATAAATTAGTAGATTGAATAAATAGATTAATAAACTACTTTTAAAACAGATTACAGGAGCCCTGCTATTGTGTTGTGTTTTTACTCACCTGCGCTACACTAGAAAAGTTGACGTAAGTCGCCACAACAACAACGTTTACATCAAAGTCAGCGCATGACGTCATCTTAATAACATCTCTGGCCGCCCTGTCCATGACAGTCTGCCTGTCTGGCGAATATCGCAAGTCGCCCTCGAGATACGCCGACGGCTCGCACTTCTCGTAGACGTGGTAGTAGATCTCTTCACTGGAGGGGCTGGCGTTGGGCCAGAAGACCTTCAGCAGCAGCTTGGTGGCGTCGTCTGTCGGAGACTTGCTGATGTCGGGGCTGCCAAAACTGATGACGCCGGCGTTGTGGATCTACGGACACAGATGGGAAATGAGAACGTTATTTTAATCTTCTTCTTCGTTCCTAATCGTAATGTTATCTCAAACACAATAATAAGCATTACGTGTCAAACTGTTATGCCATATAGATGCCGTTGACTTCGATTTAAGATATTTTGTGTCCACCCAAATAACAAACTTCAAGGCAGCAAATGTTTAATTAGGAGTTTTTCTGCTCAATAATTTTCTGTCCTTAACTATCGAGACATCTGCCTGGGGTCGAACTCGGGACTTTTCGTTTTAGCAACCCGACCCGACAACGTCAACTTAAGTTTTATTTTAATTTTGCTAGGTTCTAAAAATTTAATACTCCAGAATTACCAAAGTATTTAATACCTCAATAAACCATATTTTTATTTACGGAACTTGTATATATTGTCTGCCAATAAATCGAATCTTATATAATGGATCTTCCATGTAGTTTCATTAGGTGCAAAATCGCAATAGCCAGTTAAATCATTCCATTTAAGCATTATTATTTCAAATTGTTATTGTTTCCGTATTCAGCTTCGATGCTAATTTTCCGAGTTAAAACACTCTTTTCAAATTACAAATTTGCTTATACTTCGTTTATGCTATTCTATTTTTTCAAATAAAAAAATCAGATTACTAGCCCAGACTTTGTCTAGATTTAATGTGCACCGTGTTACTTACATACGCAGTGGTGACAGTTGTTTCAGCGAAGGGAATTTCAGCACTAAACTTTACTTCTCCATAGTACGCATCTGTTTTCTTCGTAAAGTTTTTAGACCTTGTCAAATCTCCGCTCGCCTCACCGTACGGGTAGAGGGATACTTGAATAAAGGTAAACATGATTTTTTAAAAATAAGCATCTGTATTTAATTTGAGATAAAAGAAATTTGAAACGGGGTTATTGTATAAAGACAGTATCTTGCACTTGTGGTCACCCTGTTTCACCGCATCGATTGATGGTCAAGTACTTCATACATTCTAAAACTTCACATGCAATTGTATAATCGGTAGTGGATTTTTGTAAAAATCAAATTAAGACAATTTTTATTTTCTTCTTATTTTAAGTTATGCTAGGACATTTCATCTAAAATGAATCCGTTTGTAACAATCCATAGCATACCTAGTTATATCAGCTGTGAAGCTGATAACCAAATAAAGTTAATTTAGTTAATTTTAAATATTCTCATTCGTTAATTAAAAATCTAACCCAAAATAAACAATATTTTTTCACTGTACTCACCAACACATTGGTCCAACAGACTGGCGATCTCCATACCTTCTGGGCATGCGCAGACTACTGTGTTGTTACTTTTATAGCAGTAATGTGAGCACCGTTTCCCTGAAGCCAGTACGCAGGTTTCTTGATTTCCTGTGATAAAAAAAAAACATTTAAAATTAATAAATGCTCGACGAACCATCTTTCAAAATTTTCGGTATGATCACTATTATATCATGCTAGAAATGTATCAAACCGTCTGTTTCCTTGTGTAAATATCAAAGGTATTAAAAATAATAGACAACGCAAACAAGAGATATCGTGATTGAATTACAAGGTTTTTTAATTATTTTAAAAGTTTTTCGTGGCTAGTACAATACAAAAGTGGAAATATGATTACACGAGCCGACCCGCGGCGTATCATACGCCGATACTAATGCTGCCACTGAAAATATTTGCTTTAAAACACTATCAGTAGGTCGTTAAGGACGATTACCCCCCCCCCCCTCCTCCCCCCCCCCCCCCCGTGAAAGCAGCCTCCTCTTAGTTACCTCCCCTAAGTTTAAAATCGTTTCAAACTAAATTATCTGCCCCTAATAGCCGTCACTAAACCCGGCTCTACGATTGGTAACATTTAGCGTGAACCACAGCTCACCAGACCATGTGGGGTGGGGGTGGTAGGGATATGCTTAGAGAGATAGAGAGGGGCCTGCTAGGCGCGCTTACAGCTTGGTGTTTTCTAGGGTATCCAAGAGGAGAATTATACATATATATATACATATACATATATATATATATATATATATATGTATATATATATATATATATATATATATATATATATATATATATATATATATATATATATATATATATATATATATATATATATATATATATATATATATATATATATATATATATATATATATATATATATTGTATTTTCCGATTAGGCAATTTATTTAAGAACCGTTTGTTAAAAAAACAACTTTACAATTAAATAAAACAGTATAGATACGTTAGACAATATGTACTGTTTAATTTACTATCTACTTGCCTACACAGTTTCCGGCTGAATTTTTTACGAAACCTAGCCGGCAAGAACACTGGTAACCTCCCGGAATATTTTCGCAGGCCTGGTTTTCCGGACACTTTCCGGTCCGGCACTCGTTGACGTCCTCGTCGCAGTTGGTGCCGGTCCAGCCCGTCTTGCACACGCAGACACCGCTGATGTTGTCGCAGAACTTGGTGTTGTCGCGTGCACAGGTGCAGGGTCTCTGGCATTTGGTGCCCCATGTGAACTCCTTACATTCTGTTAACGCAATATATATATATATATATATATATATATATATATATATATATATATATATATATATATCTTAGCAAAAAAAAAGTAAAGTTCCCCTCCCAAACGTGTCGGTCTATGTGGCAAGTGAAATAGAGTTCACTTGTTCATGTGACCTCGGCATATGAAGGGATAGTGTGGTCAGCACTATGCTCAGCCGCCTTTACTTTCCCTAACGTGAGTTAGGTACCCATCAGAGTTGGGTAGACTCAGGGACGGTCTACTGACTTGAACCCAGATTCGAACTCGAGACGTCAGTGTTAGCAGTCTAGTTCTTCCCAACTCTTCCCATAATTCTCATGTCTTTTTCAATTACTCTTAGTGAGTATTTTCTTTTAATCTCTCTTTTTTGCACTGGATTCCATTGTGATTGTTACTCTTGGACTATAATGTTTTATGGTTTGTTGATCCAGGTGGAACAAAGATTAAAAAGAACAAAATTAATGAACTCTTGTGTGGTTTGAGCAAAAGAATGTATCCGATCCATTAGAAATGTGAAGGTATAAAAATGTCACCACAAAAAAATACACAGTTTTTCGCAATATAACATCTCTGATCCACGACATACGCTCCAGTTCACGCACACACTGCCAACGTTGAGTACACCACCGCCATGCTCTACACACTAATCAAAGGAGGTTACTCTCCCTCCATCTCACTGTTTACAAAGCGTTTACATTTTTAAACGACCATGGTCACACCATGATACTACTGGTAAAATATGTTGCGGTTTTCCTCTTCCCTATCAGCTTCTTTTTCTTCTGTTCTTTCCCTTGATGATTTGTTTGGTAGTTTATCAAACTACTTGATATTTAATATAATGTTTTCTAAGCTATGTTTATGTCAATACTTGCAATTTAAATGATAAAAAAGCAAGATTAAAAACAAAATTGAACTCAATTGAATAGGCTTAAAAAATATTGGTCATATTTTAAATAACTATTTTGCAAAATGAGGATTTGCAGATTTAACAATAAATTATTGTGTCAAAAAGTTAAAAAAAAAAAAAAAAAGTTAAAAAACGAAAGATTACGAAGTAAGTATGACCCACCGTGCGTGTTGTAGAAGCCGGAGAACCCCTTCCGTGAGCCGTAGTACCACGTCTGGAGATGCAGGTTCATTAAGTTCTTTGTTGTCCTGAGGAGTCCAGGGATCCTGGTGCCACAGTAACGGCCGATCTGGTTGGTCGTGTTGACCTCCCCGTCAAAGAAGTTAAGAGAGTCGTAGGAGCAGTAGGCCGTTTCCATCAACTGAAAGTCTCCTTTAGCGATGCTAGAATTCAAAAGTTCTACTTTTATTGCCGAGAAACATGTAGTGAAGGGGGATGAATGGGCGTGAATGTTGTTTGTACTTGGTACCTTATCCCGTTCGTCCTTGTTCAGTTCTCGTGCGGTGTGTTGTAATAGTCCAGTTTGTACCAGTTTATGAAAGGGTATATAAGGGTATATATAAGGGTATGTATATGTAAACGTGTGTTATGGCCTCAGTTACGTCCAGATCTCCAAGGTTAGTATAGGTTAGGTAAATACTATTATTTAGCCCCTGTATCGTAGTTTTACTAGCTTGTATATTTTGTATTTAGAATAGACGGTGTTGTAGATAGTGAAGATATTATTACATTCTTTTAGTTTTAACGAGCTTTTGTTTTCATTTAGTCTTGTTTGTAACCCGTTTGTGGTTGTTTGTCTTATATGTTGCGCTACGCATCGGATGACCCGAAAGGCGTGTCCGTGTGTTCACAACAATATCCAGAAATATAAAAGCATAATTTTAAATTTACATAAAACTATTATTTAAAGTAGTATGTTGGAGAAGTTATAGGAGGTTGGCTTGGTCGGAGCGGTTGCTGAACCATTAGTCCTGAGTCTTAACATCCGGGTAAATGAGGCTCTATAACTGCGGACAGCCATTCATCTAAGAGAGACAACTCCGAAATCAAACAACTGCTGGTTTGTAGTTTGTTTTTGGCTGGACAAAAAATATGGTAGCAAATATGTAAGCTAAAAGCAAAGCATGCTGAAATAGGAGTCAACGGCCTAAATGGCGCATAACGAGTTGACACGTATACTAATTATTTTGGAGGAAATACCCTTTCAACACTAAAATTAAGAACGAAGAAGAAGAGAAGTTATGCTTTACTTAAGTGTTTTAGAATATAATTATCAAAAAAAAAAAAAGAAGAAGAAGAAGGAAAAAAAAAGAGAAAAAAAAAAAAAAAGAAAAAAGAAAAAAGAAAAAAATGTTTAGAAACACACACAAAATGTTTAAAATATGAAAGTATAGTGTAATCACCACTACGCCCAGCCGCTTTTGATTTGCCTAGCTAGAGTTAGGTATCCATTAAACATGGCTGGACTCAGGGACATTCTACTGACATAAACCCGGATTCAAACTCAGGACTTTCGGGTTAACACTATAGTTCTCTAACGCAAGGCCATGCAGTCCCATTGTATAAACTATTATATTATGTAATACGAGCAAACCCGCGGCGTATCATACGCCGCTAATTAGTTGTTTTATTTTCTACTTTTAATTAATTCATAATTTGTGAAATCGACAGTGCCAATGCTGCCACTTAATATATTTGCTTTAAAACACTATCAGTAGCTCGTTAAGGACGATAACCCCCCCCCCCCCTCCTTTCCCCCAACCCCTACCCCCCCCCCCCCCCCCATGAAAGCAGCCTCCTCTTAGTTAGCTCCCCTAAGTTTAATATTGTTTCAAACTTTTGAAAACATTTAGCGTGAACCACAGCTCACCAGAACATGTGGGGGTGTGAGTGGTAGGGATATGCCTAGAGAAGAAGAGAGGGGCCTGCTAGGCTCGCTTACAGCTTGCTGTTTTCTATGGTATCCAAGAAGAGAATAATATATATATAGATAGATTCGCCAAGATCTCTTTAGGATCGATTGCGACAAAAGGCTAAATAATATTTATTTTTTATTTATCAATTGATGAAATAAAACCACGAACAATAGACTGCACCTTCTGATAGGTAGATGTAAATACACTCTAAACTACCGACAATTAAAATGCCTATTAATCTAATTAGTATCGACTAATTGTTTGATTACCTTAATGAAACAACTTCACTAGCACCACCTGTAATTGACCAATCACACTGCGCGTTGTTGAGTGGATAGGTCGGGTACTGAATTGTGCTGATGGCTCCAAACGGTCCATTTAAGGTTGTAGTACAATCTATACATTACCGTCGTACACACAAAAGGAAAAACACATGAATAATTGTTATTATAATTAGACCTATCTATATTAAACTAAATAACAACGCAATAATTAAACAGAAATCTGCTCTAGTCTAGCACCTGTATCTTTTAAATAAAAGATAAGACTGAAACGAAATGTACAACTCAGTCAAAATGCCTAACAATAAGTTAAAAATAAGTGTACATTCTTTATTTGTCATAGAAGATTCAAACAAGTTTAAAACTTCTATCTTTTGTTTTTTACCAACTGCTTCTGAAATTGATGGAATTACAGTGTTACACTTTTTAAAATTATACTTATCCATTTAAATGACCAATCAATTAAAAAAATAAAGCATGAAACGTTAATTTAAAATAATGCATCCTATTTTGCATGAATAATAAAACAACGTACCTATATCACACCTGTAGGTGCCCGGCAGGTTGACACATTTCTGCGTGAGCAAGCACGGGTTCTGCAGGCACTCATCTACATCAACAGAGCAGTCAGTGGACGCCCACCCCGACCTACAGGTACACGCTCCACTGACACTGTTACATGACACGGAGTTGGCCTGTACACATTTACACAGGTTCGTACACAGGTCAGTGCCGTAGTAAAATGGACGACAGTCTGTCAGACAAAGTGTTCCAATAATAAACTTTGGGTAAGATGGCTTTTAAATCATTATTATTAAAAAGGCAGATAAATAGTAAGGATGTACGTAACACAAAGTCGTCATGACTTGTTGACACTTTCCTATAAAGAACAGTCTTTGCCTCCACTGTCTTGGCTACCAGGTAATATACAATTTTATATAATTAAAAACAAGACTCGGGTAGATGAGGCTCGTTAGCTGGGGACAGACACTCTTCTAGGAGAAACAATTCCAAAATCAAATAACTGCTGCTTTGTAGTTTGTTCTTGGCTGGACAAAGCAGGCTGAAATCGGAGTCGAATGCCTCTATGGAGCATAACCAGTTGACACGTATACTTAATTGTGTTGGAGGGGATCCCTCACAAAACCATAATTAAGAACGAAGAAGAAGAAGTAAACAAAAGTATGAGACGGCGTGGTTAGTTGGTGGATCTTTCCTATCCCGAAAGTCTCGAGTTTGGATCCCAATTTTGGTCGGTGAATCCACATAGGTCTAATTGGTACAAAACTCACATTAGAGAAAAAAAAGGTGACTAGGCATTGTGCTGACAACACTATTTGCCAAACTTATTGAAACATATGAGCTGTAGTGCATCTGCCCCATGTTTCTTGGGCACAAACATAAAAAGATAGTGGCAAGTGAATAAAAAAGAATAACTACAATCCACTAACTTACAGTTGACTCTGGCTTGGAACCCCGTCCTAAGTGTGTCCTCCTCAGACTGGTAGATAATGTACACGTTGGGGCCCTGGATACGTAGCACCCCCGGGGTTGTGGTACCATAGAACCTCCCCACCATGGGGTCTCCGGCATGCGTGCCCTGGTATACGGCTACAAAAGACTTGCCGGACGGGTCAGTCGATAAGCTCACCATGCTGGGCGGAAGAGAGTAGACAGTAAAGTTACTTCAAAATGATATCATATAAACTAAATAATCTATAAGAAAACCCAACAAGACATTGGTTTTTCTGTATGGCAATTGCTTTTAATGAAATTCATTAAAACAATTGTATATATTAAATACTTTTAATGAAATTTACAAATGTGTTGTATTTAATTATATACAACGAGCCGGCCCGCGGCATAACATACGCCGCTATTTAGTTGTTTCTAATTTTCAATAATTCATAATTTGTGAATTCGGCAGTACCAACGCTGACACTGAAAATATTTCTTTAAAACACTATAAGTAGCTCGTTAAGGACCATAACCCCCAACCCCCCCTTCCTTCCCCCCCCTCCCCCCCCCCCTACCCTTAAAATCGTTGGCTCTGCTTGTAAACATTTAGAGTGAACACAGCTCACTAAAACCATGTAGGGGTGGGGAGGTAGGGAGAGCGTTTGCAGCTTGTTTTCTAACGGCTCACAGAAGAGAATTATATATATAGATTGAATTTACTGCTATGTAATATTCCATCGATTCTATGATTGTGAATTGCTACGGGGAAAATTAATTTTCCCTTGTGGTTGTTAGAGTGCGTCAAATCAATGACTTCTAGAAAATGTAGGAAGAATATCAGGAAAAGGCTAAGAGTATGTATTATACTCTCATCAAAAACAACTGTGTCCACTTACTTAATGGATATTATACCCTCATCAAAAACAAGTGCGTCTACTTACTTAATGGATATTACACTCATCAAAATCAAGTGAAACCACTTAATGTATATTATACTCCCATACAAGTGTGTTCACTTACTTAATGACTACTATACTTCTATCAGAAACAAGTGCATCCACTTACTTAACAGATATTATACTCCCAATAGGAGCAGACGGCGCACTGATGGCCCAGTAGCAGAAGAGACGTTTAACTGTCGTTGGATTCCCCTTAGTGAAGCGTGTACCAATGACGGTCTGGTTCTTCTCCTGCGCTACAATCAGCTTACTGCAGCCTTGTGGGTAGGCTGGAATTGAATAATTATCCTTTTAAAGTTAGCAAAGGAAAAGTTTATTGAAGAAATGGTGTCCGGTCAAACTGAGAGTTATGCTATTGTTAGACATCCATAATCATTCTAACTTTTAAATGTAGTCTAAAATTCAGAACATATGAACATATAAATCTCATTAAAATTAGTACAGATCTGAGTCAACTAGTTTTGGTATTATAAAGAGTGTTTACCTTAAAGATAATTTCAATTTTAAATAAAATTGAAATCTGTTACAATAAATAAAATAAAAAAATAATTCTTTAAAATAGCATTAACTCATTAGCGATGTCAATACTATAACATCTTAAAACATACACAACTATTTAACTTAAGGCGTTCTGAATTTTATACGAATTTTAAAAAATTAAAATCACCTAAATGCACCACGCTTAATGAAAAAAAAACTGATTGGATATACTTACAACTCTGATTGTAAGTCCCGTTGAACCCCCTTCCCCCATATGAAGTCGTTAATCTGATTAACATGCTGTTCACAGTTGACCGAATGGGCTCAGTGAAAATTTTAGAACCACTGAACATTCCGAGTAGACGGGATGTTGTGTTGGGCCCGTCGTAAAAGTAGACGTAGTCGTAGTACAATTGTGTGTAGATATCTGGAAGCCTGGTCGTAAGTGGTAATGTACAAGATTAAATGGTTTACCGTTTAGATAATTGTTAGCTTGGATGAAAACTAAAATGAATTTAAATTTGTTCTACAAAATCTTTTTAAATTAAATCCCCACCCTCTCCAGCTTTCGATCATTTTCATCTTTCACAGGATTTCCCTAATGTGAGTTAGGGACCCATCAGGTATTATAAGTACTGTGGAATTATAAGTACTCAGGAATGTAGACATGCCTCAAAAGGGTAAAAACTTAGCATTTCTCATATTAATGTTGCCAGATGCTCTGACTATCTTTTCCCCACCACAATGGACTGCTTTATCATGTGCATTGTTCCTTTTTCCCTACTCATGATTCTTTGCTTCCCACTTTCAGATAATCTTTCATGCTAAACTATTCCCGACTGTAGAAACTCCATGCCGAATATATATTTTTCCATAAACAATTATCAAATCTTACTGGACCGATACGGTATAATTCGTGTCCGCTTGAATCAGCCACGAACAAATGGCGTTAGGCCAGTAGTTGCTTGGGTAGTTAGGTGATTGTATCGCACTTGGTGATGTGGTGATGTTGTAGTCACATCCTATTGGGACACACAAGCTGACATTTTTTTTATATGGAAACAAACTATTTTCCTATTGCAATAATTTCAGTTAAGTTATATAAAAATTTGAAATATAGTTTTTATTTTATAATATTATTATTAAAACGTATTCACGTTTTTGTATTTATGGATTTTGTTTATATTGAAGCAAATTTCATTGACTTATCATTAAAGCTAACACTATGTATCAATATGCTTAGAATAACACGTACATGTTTTAAATGGATTTACTAATCAGTGTTTCTTCCAGACTTTTTTCTCTTCTCCCGAAGAGATGCCTGGAAGAAACTCTGTTACTAATGATAAACTTCTGAACAAAAGTACTAAGTAAACGTAACATTTGTACTGTAGTACACACGCACACTAAAATATAATGATATGCAATGACGTGACCCTGACCTTTCCTGACGCAGCTGCTGTTCCCTGGTTTAGTTTCGTACCCAGCAACACACTCACACCTGTAACTGCCCACCGTGTTGACACACACCATGTTCGGGCTCGCGCTGCAGATGCTCAGGTATTTGCTCAACGCGCACTCGTTGACGTCCAGGGAACAGTCGACACCTGACCAGCCTTCAGCACACACGCACTGACCCGTCACACTGTTGCACGTGACCGTGTGAGCAGTGTTACACCTGCACGTGCGCTCACAGCTCTTGCCGTAGGTCATAGGTTTACATGCTGAAATAGGAATAGATTAGAAACAGTTAAAATATATATTTTTTTAAAGATACTGAAATAACTTTAAACTAAAAAACTGTACTTGACAGTTTGTGCTGTTTTATGCAATAGCTAGATGAAAAAATATTTTGTCTAAAATTTACTTTGCTACTCAACATATTTTGTGTTTCTTGTAATATTCAAAGACATTCCTGATGATGGAAGTTGCAAGGAGAGGTAAGGGGGGAAAGGGAGGTCAGGTTAACGTGAGCTCCAATAAAGAGAGCCGCCCAAAACCTAGTCCAGTGTAAAGGTGAGGCAGCAGCCCTTTGTATCTTAAGGGCCGCACTTGAATTAGTACGAGTAAAAGGCAATCATAACATGATGAAAATAATATTAACTAAAGGGGAATAACAAGGGTTTACCTTCACAGTTGGTGCCGTTGAGCAGCATGTAGTAAGGGCAGTAACAATGTTCCACTGAATCGTCTGAGATTCCACACAAATGGGAACACTGCAGTACACATCTGGTGTTGGGTTTTGCTAGTTAAAACAACATCATAAATGACAAGTCATTAAAAAATGACTGTAAAAAAATACTAAGATGTGAAGCTTCCAAATAACTCTTGCTATTAAAATTAGTTACTATTACGTGATAGTTTCTAAAATTCTCCACATTATAAACCGTATATAAAAGTAATTTACTACATCTTCTTGGCGATTAGCATTAATTATGATATGCTTTTTTCAAAAACCCCAAAACAGGACTGCTAACCCACAAAATATCTAAATCGCTCAGTACATGGACACACATTTATAGATCTACTAGAAACACGTTTGAGAAAACTAAATGCATATATGCACAATGCTGACCACGATATCCCTTCATATGCCAGGGTCACTGAAACAAGTGAACTCTACTTCATCTGATCCGTGGTCCGCCAGGTTCTTTTGGATACTTTATTTGTTTTTAAAGTAATTTAAAATACGATGGTATTTGACTAATTTAAGGGAAGTAAATATGTTGGTGATTTTGAAATGGCCACACTTCACCTACATATAACAATGCTTTAGAAAATGATGGATTCTACTTAGTGTATCATACACATAATTAGTTCCTAAAGGATCATCTTTATTATTTTCAAAACATTGCAAGGTATGTTAATTATTTAAAACTAATGTAACTTTTAACTTTTAAATGGTACCGTCATACACACGTCAAGAGATCTCAGACCGGATGTTGTCACTGACCTACACACCGACTGCTGGCGTTCTTGACCAGCCCGGGCAGGCAATCGCAGGTAAAGTTCCCCGGCGTGTTGACGCAGGTGACGTAATCGTACGGGCACCTGTCTACTTGGAGGTCCGCGCATTCGTTGATGTCCACGTCACAGCGGGCGGACGTCCAACCAGGCTTGCAGTAACATCTTCCGTTGAGGTTACTACAGTAGGCGGTGTTGTCCCGGTTACAGTCACAGGTATGGTTACATTTCTCGGTACCGTACGTCATAGCTGGACATTCTGGTAAAAAAAGAAGATACTTTGAAATTTAAGAATACATGTTAATGTTAAAAGAACATTGGCATGAAATAAAATATAACCAAGAGTGATACAAATCTATATGTGTCATATATCGATATATAATTCTTTACGTGGACATTACCACGCACGCCCCCTCCCTCGTTCTCCAGGGATGCGCAACAGACCATATCGCTATCACCCCCCACCCCCTTAAGTCTTGTGGGCTGTGGTTCACGCTGAATGTTTACAATCGAGCGAGCCAAGAGGGGAGGGGGGGGGGGGAAGTATAAGGATAATCGTATTTGACGATAGTGTTTTAAAGCAAAATAGTTTCAGTCGCTGCATTTATAGTGTCGAATTCACCAATAATGAATTACTGTTGTGCTTTGAAAAGGAAAAATGTGTCTGTCTTCCTGTGTTGAAAAAAGTAAATATTGTGATCGAATTGAAAGTGACTTCCCCTATCGATATTTAGAAAAAAACTGAGTAAACTCCCGTGTGTGCGATTCGTCCTAACAAATCAATAAAGATATGGTAGGTTTTGTTTAAATACTTGTTAGAGTTTCTCCTTACAAAAAAAAAAAAGAAAAAGAAAGGCGATTAATCGTACACGGACGTTTTTTTACGTTATGTTGATAGATGTCTGTATTGTGAAATGATTTGTTTCTTAAAAGTTCAACTGAGCTAGTGCTTTAGTGATTTATACTGTTATTCCACAGTTGTAAGTAACTATTGTATTTTTATATCAGTTACAATTCAAAATTAACTGTATAAAAATAAATTGCAATATTTCAATATAATATAATATAGTCATCCACTGTCTTATTTTAAACGTTTTATTTTGTTTACGTTTATTCTGGACTCACCTATTCAAGTATGTCAACACACACCTTATGCTGTGTTAGAAACAGCTCGGGTCGCAACATACACAATGCACAACCTACTTATTTTAAAGCAGACAATCCGATTGGCGTGTTAAAAATACATGCGTGCATGCTCCTACACACGCGTACATGCACACACAAATACACGCACACACAACTACACGCACTCACACCACACGCACACATTCACACATATACACAGGCGCACACGCAAGTACACTTACACACACATACATTCATACTTATATATAACTGCTATCCTTTAACTTACCGTGTGCTTCAAAGGTTGCCAGAAATCCAGGCCTAACGTTAGTGGCATCAGATAAAAACGTGACGAACATTTTGTTCCCTGTGGAGCGGATGTACAAGTTGTTTAGTTCGGCTTTCTCCTTCAGCCTACACAGCTGCTGTATGGGGGTGGCCCGGTTGGTGTCGCCGTCGTATACGGTCACCACATCAGGACACGAATCGGCGTAGCCATCGAGATCAAGAAAGGTGAACCTGGTAGTTGGGCAATTGAATTTTGATACAAATATTAACAAACGTTAACAAAACATCGATAATAATAAACTTCGAAATACATTCAAAGTAAGAAAAAAAATATTGCTTTCTTTAATAAACACATTATTTGCTAAAATTCGTAAAATATTTAATGAATTACCAAATACATTAGTCGCCACAACCCAATCAGCTTACTTTTACCGTATAGGAAGGCTCATCTTTGAAATGTTGAGTGTGATACTTACGGATAGCCCAAGGTTAAGCCCCGTTAATAATTTTTTTCGGTAAAATATTACTGCAATTTTTAATCAAATAAAAAATCCAGCACCAAATTAATACTGTCAAACACTACTTCAATCGTCGCTCAAACTAGCATGCCCAAAAAATGGCTCTGAGACGTAAACTAGCTTCACATATTCTGTTCACTAAATGTAGTTCAAAGTACAATAGTCTAAAGAATTTTGTTAAAACAAACAATGGTACAGTGTGTATGGCTTGTAGAAAAAAAAAAAAAAAAAAAAAATATATATATATATATATATATATATATATATATATATATATATATATATATATATATCTTTATATATATATATATATATATATATATATATATATATATATATATATATATATATATATATATTTATATATATATATTTATATATATATATTTGATATTGACTTAACCTACTTAGTTTCGATTTTTACCCCGATGACAGATTCATTCTCAATTATATACTGCATTATACTCTATAATAAAACCATATTTCTCAATCTTACTACATTGAATCTTTAAAAAAAATTACTTCAGGTCAATTATCTCGTTGGCCTGAGCTGTGATAGTCCAGTTACATCTGGCATTGTTGGGGTAACTGCTGGGGTAGTTGGGTGACACGATTGCACCACTGGGGCCTTCACGGGTACCGCCACAGTCTGTAAGAAAAGCAAAGTTCATTAGTATTATTATAATTTATATGAATAAAAAAAACAACTGTATTCTCCAACGTACGTTCACATTTGCTAAGAATACATAATTTTTAGCAACATGTAACTTGCACTATTTGTAAATAGACTCAAACTAGCTCACAACACCTAAGCCAAAAACAATTTCTGACCAACACGATGCAACTTTTTATGACATAATAGTTTTAAAATGTAAAATTATCGAACTGAAATAATGGGTGCCATTTTAAAATGTACAATTAACGAAATCAAATTATGAGTGCCATAAGACGCACAACATTCTGACTCATAACAATAATTTGTGTTGGAGGAAATCAAATGCAATAAATTATAAATAAGAACAAAAAAATTACAAATGAAATAATGAATTAAAATGTTACCTGAAAATATTTCAGCGAGTACAGAAGATATAACTAAAGCTAGCAAAAGTACAATACTTAAAGTATTGTGCATCTCCATTTTTAAGCAACTGTGGACACATATTTTAAAAATTAAGTTATTTGCATAACCATATGTAATTTTAAGTTGTTAAAAAAATTATGTTTGAAAATGTATTTTACTTTCGAAATGTTTATTTATATTTATTTAATGTTATTATTATAAATGTCTTTTCGCTCATTTTAATTACTTTAATTTTTTTTTCTAGAATGTCTATATAATGTAACATGTATAAGAATGAAACTATTACTTACAAAACAGAGAGCATCGGATGACAGTGTTGCCTGATGCCATCATTTATAAGTAAACGCTCTCACCGACAAAAGAATTTTATCCAATCAACTGTCAAGGACACAGCATCACATATGCTGCTATCTTTCTAGCAGGAAATCTGACACCTGTCAATCAAACCTGAGTAAACGGATTATATTTTAAATACATTCCACAGATCGAGTAACCGAATAATTTTAAAACTATTGACCAAAATCGACAATCGACTTTTCGCTGTGGCTGACGCACATGGTAATGTATATTTTTTCATGGTTTTCTTTAAATGTGTAAAATAATATTTTTTAAATAAGTAACACATTTTTACCAAGGCCAAAGGGAAAATTTTTATTTTACTTAAAATAGCTGATTTAATCCCTAACCTAAGCAACCAAGGCTATATCAAGGCTATGTACTAGATGACCTCTCCATAATTCTTCTTTGGCTACCAATTAAGTCGTTGAAATTATAGAGCATAAAAAAATCACATAAGTTATACCCATGAACTGCAAACTTTTTTTAAACATATGTTTATGAAATTAATCGTCATCATCATTATTTTTCTTTTCTTTCCATGCAGAACATAGCGCCTCTTGTTAAAGTTTCCACTCCCCACGGTCTCCTGCCATTCTTTTCATCTGTTCCCGATTCCTTTCTGTCCTTACAGCCTCACCTAGCACGTTACGTCGCCAAGTCTTCTTGAGTCGACTGCTGCGTCACCTGTCTTGGGGGTTCCACTCCAGTGCTTGCCTGACTCTATAGCCAGTGTCATTCCTAAACGTGTGCCCAAAACCATCGCCATTTCCATGATTTGCCTGTCTATTGTTTCCTGTCCACACATCTCTTATAGTTTCTCGTTTCCTACCTTGTCTTGCCATTTTAGTTTTAATATGCGAATCTTAGTCAGGATTAAAATTTAAATTGAGAAAAAGTGCGTAAAAACAGTACAGTGTTTAATCACGACGACAATAATAAAATACTTTCAAACAATAAATGCACAATGTTTAAAAGCTACCAATTTTCTTACAAAGATCTAAATAAACGTTCATAAAGATATGTAAAGTCAGCCTATTAAAGGAAATGTAATATACCATTGGTCCATATAATCGATTTGATAACATTAGATGCAAATATATTAAAAACTTTTCTCATTTTTTTTTTACAAAGATATGCATTAATACTTGAAGTTTAACTAAATATCTATAGATAAAGCAGATGCGTAGCGACCCCTCCCGGCACCCGGGGACAAACTTTCAATTTGGCGCCCCCCATATATTTTTGTATATTTGTAATTCAAAACTGCAGCTAAAATGAGCTTTCAATTTTTTTCAACTCATTTTGGCGCTTCTATGGTCGGCGCATGAGAACATATGTACCCCCCTGCACCCCCATCGCTACGCCTCTGAGATAATGGCTCATCATTCTTGTTGTTATTCAATGTTGTTAAAAAACTGCCGAGAGCACTCAGATGTCAGCTTGAAGAAAACATGCGATGTATAGAGCTAGGCTTTTTAGAAAGAGTATCTCGACTATAGTCTAAGGTCGGCTTCCGGGGACATATGTACCCCACTGCCCCCCCCCCCCCATCGCTACGCCTATGTATAGTTGGCCAGTAGCTCGAATATAGTTGACCAGTAGCTGACTTTAGTTGACCAGTGGCTTCACTATAATTGACCAGTAGCTCGACTATAGGTGACCAGTAGCTCGACTATAGTTGACCAGTAGCTCGACTATGGTTGACCAGTAGCTCGACTATAGTTGACCAGTAGCTCGACTATAGTTGACCAGTAGCTCGACTATAGTTGACCAGTAGCTCGACTATGGTTGACCAGTCGCTCGACTATAGTTGATCAGTAGCTCGACTATTGTTGTTTAGTAGCTGGATTATAGTTGACCAGTAGCTCGAATATATATATATATATATATATATATATATATATATATATATATATATATATATATATATATATATATATATATATATATATATATATATATATACATATATATATATACACTAATATTTAAACTTTTTAAAATTTACATTATTCATAATCGAACATCAAAACGTCAGAGTATAATTATGCAAATACTTTTTTTCTCAAAAAGCATCCGCCCAAACGCCCACCGGATATATTTTTGCTGCGTGTGCAAGAATATCCAGAAATCGGTGTTTAACAACAGTTTCTGAACTTCCGGCTGTCGAATGTAGAGCAAGCTGTCAAAATACTGAAAAGATTTGTAACACCATCTGCTATTATCTAGCACTCCCGTGTCCTTGGGGCTGTTTTGTATGTAGATGTCAATCAATATTCTCCTGACAAAAGCTTATGACAACATGACGGGTTTGTTTGTTTAGAGAACCACACAGGACAAAAGATGGATTTAAAGGCGGAGCTTAATCTGGTCACGTGTGTTTGACAGAGTTAATGTTATGGTTTTTGAGATTTGAATAAAATATTTGAATAAAAAGTATACTATTTATTTAAGGTGATAAAAGTCAAAGTATACCCCTATTGGTAAACATCAAAATGTATACTTCTAAAAATATATTTTGGAATGTGGTACAGATTTTGAAAAAATATATTTAAAAATATATTTTAAAAAAATTAGAAAGTGATGCTATTATTTGCCCAATCCAATAATTGTTGTCATTAAAATTAACCAATTACGCGTAAGCAAAGTTTTTAAATCCCTTAAGTGGGCTTAAGTTAATCTATGACTAGTATTTTTAAATAGTATTAATCGCTAACTGATTGTTTACGCATTACATAGTTTTTAATTTTTTTTACTATAAGGCTCTAATGTTTGGATCAATAGTAAACCGCTCTGCCTTTTTTTCTCTCACTTTTTAGACTCCTAGCTTATATATGTGCCTATGTGTGTACGTACGTACATTTGTCTGTATGTATATGTGTATGATTATTATACGAACATGTATGGATCCAGCAACGCACAGTGTCACTACTGCTTTGTCCAATTGCTGTTGTTTTTTTTTTTACTTTCTCGTATACAGGGTAAAGAGGAAGTATTGTAATCATGCAGACAGTTTTCACCGTTTTACACCTCAATACTTAATCATTGAGTACGCAGTTTAGGAGGACTTATTTTAATCGGGCAACAATTATAAACACAGATTAACAAAATTTCGGCATTTTACGAGTAATCGTGTCGAAAAATCTGGGCTTTGTAAATATGTTCGTATGTCTGTGATGTGTCTTTGACCACGATAACTTGAGTACCGATAAAGCTAGGTTGATGAAAATTCATATCTAAGTATTACATCAAATTGTTTTTTATCTGTTTCAACTTTTCAGCGATTTCCGATAAGCAGAATGGGAATTTATTCTACTTTCGGTTTTTCAAAAGCCGATAATTTGAGTACTGTTTCTGATCGATAGATAAAATGTCACTTATAAGAAAAAGATCTACCGCTGTGTTTGCTATTAAATTGTGTGTAATTTCCGGTGATCGGAAGAAGTACTTTATGCTACTTCCGATTTCTTTAAAAAAAAAAAAAGCGCATATGAATTTATAAAGTACTAATATTCCGCACTTTTATACACGCATTGTTTGCTGTTCACTTGGTGCACAATTCTTTTTTTCTACGAGATTCTATTCTATTTTTAAAAGTATTTAAAAACTGATTAAAAATTATGTCTATATCCCGAGTTGCCTTCTCCGTATTGTTAGGGGAGATAACTCGTGTTTTTTTTAAAAACTTTTTATTACATAACGTACTGTAAAATGTAAATACAACAACTTTTAATATATTGTAAAAAAAAATTCATATATTTTTATATATTTATCAAATAATTTTTAAAGACAATTTTAACCTTTTTTTACTTTCTCGTATATACGTAGTATAGAGAAAGTATTGTAATCGTGCAAAAAAAAAAATCGAGATTTTTACAAATCTCGACGTTTTACACCTCACTGATACGGAAAAACATAATTTTGCAATCTTGTCCGTATGTCTGTGTGTGTGTGTGTCTGTGTGTCTGTCCGTGTGTAAACACGATAACTTGAGTACCGTTACAGCTAGGTTGATGAAATTTCATATATAAGTATTTTATCAAAATCGTAGATCCGTATCAACTTTTGAGCGATTTCCGATAACCGGAAGTGGTACTTTTCCTACTTTGAATTTTTTAAAAGCCTATAACTTGAGTACTATTTCAGATAGATAAATGAAATTTCACATGTAAGTAAAAGATCTAATTCTCTACCTTCTGTTAAATTTTGAGTAATTTCCGTTGACTGGAAGTAGTAATTTACGCTACTTCCGATTTCTCAAAAAACTAATGTAAATTTTAAAAGTACTAATAATATTGCGCACTAATATGCGCTTTTTTTATTTGCGTTCACTTGGTGTGCAATTAATTTGTCTACGAGATTTTATTCTATTTTTAAAACTTTAAGTATTTAAAATGGATTAAAAATCATGTCTATAGCCCGAGTTTCCATCCCCTGTTATTTTATATAAGAATATTCGAGAAAGTTTAGGGGAGATCACTCCCGGTTTATTACATGTAGTAGAAAAAATGTAGTAAAAATATATTGTGGAGTTCAAATTGTTCATAAAACTTATATTATGACGAAATAAAACATGATGTCAATTGATGTAATTTAAAGTTTGTTTTCTGAGATGCTTTGCCTTATGCTGTTATAATCAAAGTATATGATTCACTAGGCCAGTCAACGTAAAATAGTTTAGTGTTAAGTACTATAAAGATCAGCGAGTTGTTAATTACAGAGTAATTAGGTTAGCATAACTAACATTTTGGCTGGAGATTTTTATTTCTCATTTTGATAGTCAACTTTTCTGAACTGACCAACTTGGATTAATAAACAATTAAGAATTATAAATTAATAAATAAAAAACATAGATAAAGCAAATGTAGATATGTCGATTAAAAAATAATGGCTTACCTTATAATATGTATAAATAAAACAAGTTTAGCTTTAGAACTTTAATATAATTTTGCTCTGTGAACATCAATTCACTGTTTTAAGCTTTTTCGATTTTTCG